CTTTACTGGCAAAGACCTAGTGTTAGAGGACTTTATAACACACTTGCAGTTAAGGTTAAATGGTCTGCATTTCATGTGAAGTTCTCAGCATTCTCGTGTGGCCTCCACAAGCAAAAAAAGAGGGGGGTGGGGGCTAGACTGGAATTGGGCCAGATTTACTTGAAGACTAGGATGGGGACGGCCGCACCTGCTGTTGTTATTGTACTGTTTTCAAGACCTCTCCTTGGAGGATGCATGCAAAGTATCACAAACGTGACAACATTTGTCTCACCTTCACTCAAGTAGAGTCATAATTATGGATATAAAACTATAACAATGACATTTAATGTGAGAGAACAGACTTTACCTGCTTACGTACTAAAAAAGAACCAGATTTCATTATGTATCCTCCAAGAAGATGAGGAAGAATTCAGCAAGACCAACTAGTCATCTATGATAACTACAAGTAAATATAATGAAATCATTATACCGAAGAGTGAGAAATTGGTCTTTTCTTCTTACTGTGTTTCCAAAAAAACGTGTCATTTAATTCCAATTTGGGCCACCCTGCTAAAGACAGTCATTTAATGCACATATGGAGCATTCGTATTAAGAAAAAACTGCAAAATAAGAAATTGTGATTTTTTTAATGGTTTGTCAGAAAGTTAAAATCGTCACAATTTGTTGCATACAAGAGGTATCTTGCATGAGAAAATCTAACACCAGTTTGCAAAAGCTGTGTGGCTCTGTGTGGGTGGGTGGTCCCAAGGGGTGTGCATTTGCACTCAGCCCTAACTGACCCCTTATGTTGTTTATCAGTCACTAATTCATCCCAGTGGCATCTGGGTACTACTGCAGTCTGTCGTCACTGTGAAGCTTGGAGTGGTAGGGTGTCTAGCTAGGTATATTGTGGTGGGGTGGGTGCTTGTGTGTGCATGTGTGTTTGTCAGTGCATATGGGATGGGCTGTGCTCCCAAAAAAAGGCCTATCATGGTTACCACACTCCCCTAGCAGAGCATCCATCTGGACGCAAGTAGTCTCATTGTTTTGACACTCACAGCAGGATGCAGTCTGGAGAGGAGAGGGGAAGCCCTCTTCACCTCTTTAACAGTGTTGAACATGATGTAGCAGGATGGGTCTGTGTATAATGTATGAGTGTGTGCTGGTTTACAAATTTAAAAGGATAACTGATTATTTGAAATTGAATTAAAACATTTAATTATTGAAACTACAGCAGTGGGAAGTGAGGCAGAGGGAACGAGGCTCTTCTCATTCAGATGACAAACTAAAAAAAGAGCCTGGATCAGACTTGTTCAGTCCTTTTCCTTTGTTTGTTGCAGGGTGTTTATGTTTATGTTCCCCTGTCCTTTCCTGTTATTTGAGTAAGTTGTTGATAGGGCCTTTATTTGATTTATTAGAGGAGTCATATTTATAGATTGTTTTCATTTTGGCTTTAAACTCAGCCGTGTCAGTGGAAATTCCTTTAAGAAAAAATAAACCGTTAAACACCTCCTCTCCTCTGAGCTCACGCTGTGCCGGCGCAGAGTCTCCTAGAATAACACATCATAGTCAATTTTCTACATCACTGTAATAAGTTTTACCCCATTTTCTTAACAAACACCATTTATAATGTTGTGTTGAAAGAAAAGTCAATATTCAATGAAATTCAGAGAATATATTCTCCATTACAGGGAAAAGGCATACATGTTCTACTTAGCGTCACGAGTTAAATTAGATGCATGACTATTTTTCTGGAAAAAATTTCAATGGTTTTATCACTCACACTGGTTTTCAGTAGAAGTAAAGAACAAACAATTACCTCACTCTGGAGCAACTAGATGGTGTCATCTTCACCACGAGACACACAAAAACACGCAGTGTCACGAGATCGCTCGTACAGATTTATTGTTCACAACAGGAACGTTGCCAGATAAAGTGCTGTATACTGGTTTCACATTCACTGACGCCAAGACAGGGTTACACTGGTTTTAAATGCTCTCTATGGAAGCCAGCAACATGTAAAATATAAATGATAACAGACAGAAGACGTGAGATAAAAGAAATTACGGCTCATCCGGTTTCCCTCGTCTCACTCTCGTCATACACCAAACTCACTCCCGTACTGGTGTCTTTTGTCGGGTTTCTCTGGATGCAAAGATTCAGTTCACGATGAGTCTTAGTTTTGGAGTTAGCCTGCTTGGAATAACACAACAATTTTCATTCAAAGTTCTCCATCACTAAATTCACATTAAACTGATTTTCTTTTGAAACATTCAAACATTCATTAAAGTGCCAAACTGAACGACCTGGCTCAAACATACAACTGTAAACCAGCACTGATCACAAGTGTATATTTTTTTAAGTAATGTTTTCCCCAGAGAAGTTCACGTTGCTGATATAAACCCAGCAAAGTGCTGAAAAGCAGAATAGTTGTAGACATCATAATAAGTGAGGGGCAGCCCAGGGTGGACAATCTATAGCAGCTTAGCATCAAAATTATACATTTCCCTCAATTTGGGGAAAACATCTGAGGTTGCAGGAAAGTAAATGTAAATAAGACATTTAAAAAAAAGCAGTAAGGACATTTTGGGGGTGAAGAGGAAAAAGTGCTGCCAAGTCTACGTAAAGATGTGCAGACTCTAAAAAATCTGCGAGAGACATCCTTCGGGGAAGTTAGCACACACTATTGTGATGCTAGTTTTGCATATTTTGGTTTGCATCTTGAAATATAAATGCAATCAAGGCACAGTGGCTGCTCATGTGCACACACCTTCAAATTGGTTTTGACAGTCCATGCCGTGCAGTGACTGATTAGCTCCGACGCGAGACGGGCTTTTTGCCGTGGTACGGTCCAGTTGGGCTTTAAGTGTCAGGAAAACTTTCAGACAGTAAAATGAGGTTTTGCAAGACAAAACAAATCATCCTAAACAAAAGAAAAACTCATAAAGATACATACACTGGAAGTGATACAACACAGAACACGTTTTAAAGCTGTGGTTCCCAACCTTTTTAACTTCATGAAGAGGAACACATTTAAAGACGTTTAAGTCAGTTTATAGGATATAGGACAAGGGTGAGATTTTTGCAACAGCATCAGATGCGAATTAGTGTCTCTGAGTGGAACTGAACCAGCAACCTTTGACTTTGTTAGTCCAAACCACTACACTATGGAGATATATCCATGATGTCATATATTACTCCCAATCATAAGCCAGTGCCAAAAAATTTAGAGCAGCTCTGAACTGTTGTAGATAATATCTAAAGATGTGTATGACGACACACAAGTTACAAACAGCAGGATCAGACATTAAATCATTTTCTTTTTTTAAACATGCCAGTTCAAATCTAAAACTGCACAATTATTAGAATAGGGAAGGGAATTTGTTTGGAAACGTGCCCTGTGCCTCCCTCCCACACACACACTACTTGGGCAACTCTGTCACCTAAACTGAGCATGCCCAGAAGTGATAATGCAGCTGATACAAATTATCTCATGCTGCGTGATACATATGAAAGAAAAACTCTAGTAAATCTCCCAAACTGAGGTCACATGTAAAAAAAGGCTATAGCCTGTATATAAAGGATGGCTGTAGCCACATTACATCACCCACTCCTACACATCATGACCAATCTTACTGAGGGTCTGAGGGCTTGTTAATCACAGTGTAGGCCTTCACCAAATTAGACCCTATTTCATTGTTTATTTTATTCTAAAAGTAGTTTACAATATGAACACTATACTTTATTAAATAACAGACAATAAAAGGGGAGAGTTACTGAGATATTAAGTGAGAAGTCTACTTGCATCTTCTTCTATGCAAGTGGATTTCTTTCTGCAAGCACTCGCCCACTGCTGGCTATGAGTCAGAATCCAGGTTTAAAATGGCTTTATTATTCAGACTCAGAGTATACTACTACTACTGGATTTGTGTGGTAGGGTTGTGATTACTACAGTTTTTTACATTGAGAAGGGCTAGGGCTGCACTAAAGCCTCAACCAGTATTGACTTGAATTGTAGGTACTTCATTTTTTTTTATTTCAAAGGGAAGGAGTGTTTGGAATAATAAAGCTATTTTTAACTCTTTACCCCTTGAAAGCCTGCTAGGAGTAAGCCCTTCAAATCCTTTTCTGAACTAAGCAGTTTCTGGTGATTGGGTTTGCATCAGAAGTTAGTGAGGGTGGTCTCTGCCTTTGCTGCTACCTTTGGAAAAATCTGGAAACTATTTTAATGGCAGACTAAAGACAACATTTTTATTCTAAAAGGTCAAAACTCATTAAGGCCACAGAGCGGGTCATCAAATAACGTCTTTATAGGGAAAAGCATTTGGACAGTGTGATGCATTTATAAGGATGCATAGTTATGGTTATTGACCAGTTTGAGGAAAATATTACAACAGTTCAAATAAAATGACTTGTCGTCACTCATGTGACTTACAGATCACCTCGCCCTTAGGTTGGGAACAACGGCCTTAAAAATCCGCTGTAATAAGACTTCACGTGTGAAAATAATGACAAGGATTATTCATAGCACAACAATAACTTGTCACGGAAAGATTTCCTTATACACAAACCTTACAAAGTGCTGCTTTATATAGCCATGGGATCATGACTCAATGCATATGTTTACTCTCATCATGACTTCTGTCCTTCCAGAGTTCTTGGGTCTGTTGATGATTTTCACATTTAATCAGTGCCATATTTTTCAGTTTGAACTATAAACACACATACGTATACATTCATATTAATTCACTCCTTGATTAAAGATAAAGGCACCAGAGTCCCCCCACCCACCACCACCCCACCCATGCTCACTCAACAAAGCGTCCTGTATGTCAGCACAGGTCTTTCTCTTCCATGAGGCTGTTCTACAATACTGAAACCTCATGAAAATGCAGCATTAAGCTTATAAAACTACTCCGTTCATGGAAATGTTAAAGTAAAATGATTGTGTATGGATTATGTCAAACTAAAGCTGAAGAATGATATGGACTGTGAAGCACAAACATGAAAAAAAATGAGCATCGGGTTCTTAAAATACAGTTTTATTTGTGAATTTACACAGATTAGCAATACATCTAAAAGCAACTCCATTAGATAACCATTTATATAGGATTTTCACAGGTCACAAAGTAGCTTGGCTCATTCTGGCATGCCAAAGCAAAACTCGTTCTTTTTGTTTGTTTACTTTTTTTTTGGTTTGTTTTTTTGTGTTGAACAGAAAAAAAAAAAAGAAAAAAAAGAGGGTGAGACATTAGCAAAGCAAGGTGCAAACAGTCAAAAACAGATGAGAAAATAAAAAGGATGTGATGCAAATTCAGTTCATCTGGAAGCAATTTTGCTAAAAAAGAAAAAAAGGGGTTAATAAAAAAAAAAAAAAAAAACACCACCTAATGCGTTCTGCAAACTTAAAAAAAAAGAAAAAAAAAAACCGTACTGCGATACAAATGGAGGATGAAAAAAGATTTCCTGGAGGAGCGATGTATCAAAGAAAACCAAAAAAACAACATCTGAGTGGTGAAAATATGGTGTGTTAGTATCAGGTTGTCCTTTTCCCCTGCTCCTGTCTACTACACACAGATAAGCACTTCCATTTCCTCTCTTTCTCCATCTTTCAGTTGTGTGACCTCAGTTCTTCGCCCGGAGCCAAAAGCTATCGTTTAACACGGCTAAAGATGTGCCCCTAAACCCTCCCGCACTCCCTCCAAATCCAATACTTCACATTGCTAGCTGGGATATTGGTACATCTGGTTAAACTGCAGGGGGGAGGATATGCAGCAACCCATCACACTTTGGCTTTGCTGAGTTCAACTGTGGGTCATCTGCCAGTTACAACAGGATCGTGTTTAGAAGAGAAATTACAGGAGGGGAGGCTTTAGAAGCTGAAATAATGACCGGGCCCGGAAAGGAATCATAAAAAAATAAAATGTCCTATGACCTCCTAATGATGTTCCAGTTCTTGGAGGAAATAAAACAGCAAATTAAGCAAGGAGGCGTAGCTGCTGTGAGTGTAGCCACTGCAAAAATATAAAATAAAATAATAAAGTTTTGAGGTGCCTGAGGGGTGTCGATGCAGTCACTGGGGTGATTTAACAGAGTTCTTATTAGGGTCTATGACGCCTGAGCAGGCAGATAAGAATCACAACCCTTGTCTTATTAAAATAATGGAGGAAAAAAATTACAATATGGCTTAAAAACACACGCACGCACGCACAAACACACCAAACAAAAAGACGTCACCGCTCTACTCTCCATGACCCATGCTTCCCATCGCAGCTGGGGACTGCGTTTAGCAGAAACGCTGCTTGAGCACAGTAATATTTTCTCACGTGTGACACCAATGAAAGATTATTCTGTCCGTCTTCATTCAACTCACTTTCTGGGTCCTGACCGCTCCCCGACACCATGCCTCGCTTTCTACTTGCACGACTTTTACCAAATTACTTCACGATCCTCCTCACTGGTGAAACCACTTGCAACTAAAATGTGTTATATACCACAAAAAGTGCTGCACCATGAAATAAAAAATATATAGCTAACGAGAAAATAAATCTATAGCCAACATATCCAGTTTTCATATATCTGTGTTATATAGTAACTTTGTGTACTCTGAAGGTTAGAATATAATTTGAAAAAAAAAAAAAAAAAAAAATCAGGCATCACTACAGAAGACAGCCAAATAAATTCAGTTGCTGCAAAAAAAAGAAAACAGGAAAAAAAGAGAAATCATGCATAACATCTGTATTCTCTGTAGAAGCTTAGAAATGAGTACAAAACAGTCAACTAATACCAAATTTGTGTTCAGTAAAAATGAGATGACAAACTAGAAATAGAGATGCTTGCTTAAGATGAGATTGTTTTTTCCTCCCATTAATTTGGCAAAAAACCAACAAACACTGAGATGAAAAGGACAAGATGAAAAAAAAAAATGCTACATAAATATTCTCTCTCAGATAAAAGTTGTGATAGACTGTCAGCCTCACTGTCTCTACTCTTAAAACTCATCTGTAGTTCAACCACAACAAGCTGAAAAGAAGGTTTTTGTCAGAAGCCTGTGCCTACAGTAGCCTGAAGAGCGTGAGAGAGCCTCTCTCACAGTAAATAAATCAACACAAACCCTGTGGCTGTTTTCTTTTTCCCTCTGAGACCAGTTTTCCAGTGTGACTTGAAATTTTATGTGGTCTCGCTGTTCCGTATGCAGAGTCAGGTGACCGGGATATAAAAAAAAAAAAAAAGAAGAAGAAGGAGGAGGTAAAAGGGCTGGAAGGTCTTAGAAGGGGAGGAAAAAAAGCGTTTCTTTTAAACGTGTGCAGTTTTACAACACTCGGGCTGCATTCCAATTATTTGAAGCAAGAAAAAAAACAACGTGGTTTCACGTTCCATTTTTCAACCCGGGAATAATCACAGGAGTAGCCAAAAACTCAGGATCTAAACCGGCCTTCAATGACACTTTCAAGGAGCCCCGTTAAAGCCCTGCACAGGAGGTCAGGTGTGCAGACACCCCACTACCAGCCCTAGCCACCCCACATCTGTTGCAGTTTTAATCTGTGGCCTCACTTGCCCACCCCAAACCCCTAAGCTTTCTTGTCTTTTTGCAGAAGGAGAAAACGTCTCTTTTTTTATTACAAACAGATTTTTGTTAATTCGTTTCCTCTGCCTTTTGCACATAAAACCTTTTGTTAAAAAACAAATAAAATTAAAAACATAAAAGGACATTTAAAACAAAATAAAAACAGACATTATTAAACAGAAAACGGGGGTTTGCTTGCCCCTCATTCTTCTATGCAGATGATCTCCCCGTCTGCCTCGCCCCCTGCTGCCTGCTCGCTCTCAAGCCTCCGTCTTCTCTTTCTTTTTGTTTTTCTTCAGGAAGGATGGGGTGCGGAACTTCTTCTTCTTCTTGGTGTTGGGCGACTTGGAGGGCGAGCTCTCGGGGGACAGGGCCTCTTCGATTTTCTCCCCGGAGCGCACGGTGATCTCCACGCTCTCGACGCTGGTGGTCAGCTGGCTCACGCGCTTTGACAGCTCCTCGTCCACGTCCCCGTGGTCGTTTTTACCGTTCATCAGTCCTGTGTGGTTCTCTGCGGGAAGGGAAATTAGCCAGACACAAGTTAGAGGTGAAAACATCGGGCACAACATCTGCAAGATGTGATAAATTCTCCCACGACAAAGAAGAGCTCCCTGGATTTAAGTGTTCTTTGGAAGGGATACATGTAGGGTAAATCTATGAGCTGCAAGGCATTCTCTTTTCAAATAAAATATTCTTTGGCTTTTTACATCATGATCATGTTTAGCATTTTGGCATACAAGCTATTATCTGGTAGTTAAACAGAGTTCATTAAAACTGGATCTTTTCTAGTCGTTTTCCACCAATAGGAATCTTCAGCTTGTGGATGTCCACCAAGAACAAACTCATAACTATTACTGGTGGAGCATCACTGAGGTGCATGTTCATGTTATCATATTGGAGGAATGACTGATTAAATCAATATATTTTCCTCACACTGAATATGTCTCATCTCTTATTGTGTCTCATTGTGTCCTCTTGTGCCAAATGCGAGGCTCTGTTGTCGGATGTACTAATCACACAGTGTCCCCGTGCTCTACATATTTCGTAATATCCCTGCGTAAAAACCCCAGTGACCTGATAGCCCAGAGAGTCTGCCCTCCTTTCAACCCAACAAAATGGGAGCTTTGAACAGCACACTGCACACACTGCCTTAATCGGTGTTCACGTAACATGCCGGGAAGCGTCACATCTCCGTTCTCTGTGCTGCAAATGCAGGTTAACCAATCCAGGGCGCTGGTTTCATATTACGCACCAAACGTGTCCTCTCAGGTTATTTTCATCATTGCATAAAAACCAGATGGTTGGACTAAAAGGCTTGCTGTACACCACGGCTGACCTCATGGTGACAGTGTCAGAAAATATAGGTCCCCTGAGTGAACGCGCCGTTATTGGTTAATTGTTATTGTGTGGTTTTGCGTGTTTGCCCTGGAAGGAAGTGGACAGGAAGCCAATCCCATAGTGCCATTATTTACAACTTGTAGAGAGACCTCTATGATCCTGCCATTTCTTGGCGGCACACCAAATGGCTTCAAATGTCAATCGTGCGTGTTAACAGACGAAATACATTCAAAGGGCGGCAACAGGCAAGAAACCCAGTGATGTGAAACTTCCCATTACCAATCCCTCAGATCTGTGATGTTAACACCAAATGAACATTCACTCTTGATAAGTCTTTATAATGATGCGTGTAAGACTGCGACAAAACCTCAAGTTTAGATAAAAACACTGAATGAGCCAAATAAGAAAATCAATACCGTCTTGTATCTTTCATTAGGAAGTGATGCAGAGCATGACGGCAAAGCTCTCAATTTATTGGCTGATCCATGTTCCTACTCTCATCTATGGCCACAAGCTGTAGGTAGTGACCAAACGAATATTTAACTGTTGGCAAAATGAGCCTTCTTTGAATGTCTGGGCTCTCTATTAGAGATAGGGGTGAGCAGCTCAGAGGAGAGATGCTGCTCCTCTACATCAAAAGGAAAGGCGACTCAGGCATCTGATCAGGACGCCTTCTAGGCAAGGTGTTTCAGGCATGTTCAACAAGGAGGAGACCTCTGGGCAGGACATGGTAGACAGCTTACCCCCCCAAGACTGTCTGGTGAGAGGGGGGTCTGGGCATCACTACTCACACCGTAGCAGACCCAGATAACTAGCAGAAAATGGAAGTATGAGTTTTCATCAGGAGGGAGTTCGTTTATCTTAGCAATAAAATGAGAGAAAAGTGCTGGGCTGATATAACCACAAATTGATGCCATTTCTTGAAGCAGCTACTCTCTGGCAACCAATTGCAAAATCACAGAAATCCCTGAATGCTTGATAAGTTTACAAGACTTCAAGTCTTTAAAAATTGCTTCTCCCATTGCTCTAAAAAACAAACAAACCTTTGGACCCTCAATGGCAAAATAATAAGTGTATAAAATATGAATTCATACCTTTCAGGCAATGCTACATTTTCATAACCCAATATAAATTTGAATTGTCCAAAAAAAAAAAAAAAAAAAGCCAGAGAGGTATTAAATGTAGTGAAACTGTTGCAGTTTCATTGAATTAGATGACCACGTTTTAACATGAAAGACTAGTTAATACAGCATGAGCTAGTTCAGGCACTGTATAATAAGCATTTAGTCTATTGCAGTTAAATTTACGCTCTCATGCTCGTCCACAAACACACGTCGGACATTAAAGTCAAAAAGCAAGACAGTGAAGCTCATTCTGAAAAACAATTCAGTCTGTGAGTGAGTGATACCTTCTTTAGCTGAAGTGCTTTGCGGGGACTGGGTGACAGACAGAGACTGAGAGAGAGTGGAGCCATCGTCAGAGGTTAGCTCGTGCTCGCCATCTGCAGGGAGGGTAGGGACGGGGCCAGGTGGGGGGAGGTTGTGAGGGTTGGATGAGAGGATTGTGGCAGGGTGTAGGGGGTGGAAGTAGAGGGAAGACAGCAGGGGTGAGTGGGATGAGAGGTTGGAGGGAATTGGGATGAAGGGTCCGGAGGGAGTGGGGTGGGGAGGTTGACAGATTAGTGGTAACACACACACATGTTAGAATCAGGCCATGCACAGCTGTTTTCCAACAAAATTTACAAAATCCTTGTCTGCTGATCACCCAGCTATCAGAGTGCCATCAATCCACCCGCCCCCGGGCGTGGGTGGCTGAGCACACACTGTAACATTTTGCTAAACCTTAACACAGACAACGCTCGTGATGGTGACTTGTGGTCCACTGCTAGCTAGACCACCAAAGTTTAAACTTTCTTTATGAGATGTCTCATTTACATAGACTGAAGTATTTGTATTGTGAGACATTTAAATACAGAAAAATTTAGTTTAGGGCAAGAAAGAAAAGAAATCTCAGTCACTCTTATATAGAATAAGGAGATTATGAGAAAAGTTTATATTCTTCTTTAAAATAGATAAAGAAACAAGCATAATGAGTCGCCTTTGAACTTTAGATTCTTAAACAATTCTATCCAACCATAAGGAGCACATAGTGTTGCCACGCAGCTTAGCTACAGTAGCTTAATTTTATTTTAAACACCAATTAGTCTGAATGAAAGACGTTCCCTGATCACTTTAACACATTCATTAGTACGTTCGGGCTTACACATCGAGCTGGCAGTCGTCACAATCATTCACAACTCCTACAAGCACAGCGTATAGGACGTGTTTGCATAACAGCCTGATCTGTGCAGTGATAGTACTCGGTGTTCTGTATATACACAGATAAAAATGCGTGCGAGCCTCAGATGAGATGATCTCAGTGTGTGTAGTCATTTGCATGAGCTTTGTCACCTCATGTGAAACATATAGCACATAATACGCATCTGTACATGTGTTCATACATATCTATGTCACATATAGCTCAATTTGATCAGTTCTCTTATATAATGCGCATTATAATCAATCTGTTTTTTAAAAAATGATCAATATATACAATCTGCATGTCACAACTAATCGCAGGCTAAGCCTATAAACGTGTGTGTGCGTGTCCGGGCCGAGCATGTATCAGGCCTTTCCAGACGGTCTCCAGCTTGTCTCCAGATTGGTCACCGGGGATTCATGGGGCTATGGGGGCAAAAGTGTCATAGCAACGGGCTCTGATCATGTGGCGGGTGTGAAGACCTGCTGTCTGTTCGCTCTGCCATCTTAGTCACACTGGCCCCTTACACACATACAGTCGCACCATGTTTCATATGCACAGAAGAACATTTGCAGCCATCCATACACATGGCCTTACCCAAATATACACAACACACAAATACACATTCACTGTGCTCCAGTGTGACAGAAGGCCCCCCAGATATTGATTCGCTATTGATTTTTCCTCTGCCTCTCTGAAAGATAATAGGACAGAAGGCTAATATGATTAGCCTTGACTTGTGTGTGTATTTGTGTGTGTGTGTTGACAAGGTTAACACAGTTTAAAGCAGCCATAGACCTTGCATATAGATATAGACGTATAGGTATATAGATGTGCGTCTGTGCACGCGTTGACCGAGATCATTTAAATCTTTTGTTACCACCAGACTGCTGAGAGGGCACAAAGGAAAGTTGAGCTGTTTACTAATCAGTCTCCAAGGGGACGGCTTTGTAATTGCAGAACCAATTTTAAGAAATCCTGATTAGTTTTAAGCTCAAGTTGAAATCTGCTCCAGCTGTTTATTTTAAGGACTTTTGAATATCTGGCTCTTAGTGTCTTATTTTTTCCACAGTTTAAAGTCTTTTAAAACGTGCAAAAAACCCCTTTAATGACTCAAACACCAACAGTAGTTTTAGGTGCCGATGAGCTTTTAATCCAGGGGCAACACAAACTGATTTCACTCAGCTCTCAAGAGATACAAGCGGAACCGGATAAATTCATATTCAAGATTTCTTGAGGTCTTAGTTTTTCCTTCAGGGTTATTAAAGATGATTGTGATGGTTAATAGACCAGCATTTAAAAAAAAAAGAAGATTTACTTTAAATAAATGTATCAAAACCATGATATAAAGTGATAAATTAAAAGAAAAGGACCAGTTTCCTGCACCGGAGTAAACTGACGCCAGCACCCAGCTAAGCAGATGACAATTCCTCTTGCTGGCTCAAACTAATCTCCCGATGTGCGCGCTCAAATTGTATCTTGCATATTGATTATTGATCCAATTTGTTTCAAGCCCCGGCTCAATATTTTGTTGTTTAATGAACCTTCACCGATTGGTAAGGTCGTCTGCAGCTGGCAGCAGGAAAGAAAACTCTGGGTTCGAGTTCATCTCGCCATGTGTGCGTGAGCTTTGATGGTTGTTAACAGAAGTGTATTCGTGAGCGTATGTGCCGTACCGCTGAGGCCCAGTTGCCTTCTCTCCACGTTCTTGCGATACTCTTCCAGCGCCTTCTCTGACAACTCACTGAAAGGGTTGGGAGGCAGGGGAGCCATCTGCTCTTCCTCTGTGGGCACGTATGGCTGGGGAGGAGACAGGCAGAGGGGTGAGGATGGGACACACGTACACAGAGAGAAATAATCAGGAGGCATTGGCACACACTCTGAAATTTAAAAAACAAACCATGTACTAACACACAAGCACACACCAAAGGTACACGTACCAAAAAAAAACATGCACACACACACACACACAGAGAAAACAACACCGCCTCTTTAGTCATGACTGCACTGACCGACTTAAAAGAAAAATACGTTTTTTAAAAATGGCACAAACACCCACTGTGTCTGAGGATGACAATCATTCATTAGAGGATGACTAAGGCAGCTCGTGTAAAGATAAAACCACATCACAGAGTCCACATCTAATCAACTCCACGCAAGATGTGTTTATTACTCACACTCGTGCACACACACACAACGCACTTGAGCTTAAATCTCTGCTAAGCTTTCTGCCTAAAAATGTCAGAAAAAGACTCGTGCTCCAACAAATCATCACACTTCAACAACTCTCACGAATAAGTGCAGTTTCGTTTAAAGCAAACAAGTAATACATTGAAAACAGTTGTCAATTTTAAAGCAAAACTCTACTACAACACATGCAGTGGTTTTTGATCAGAACGAGTGATGAAGTGTTAAAAATCATAAAACGAACAAAAAAAAAAAAGTAAAAAACTAAAAACAACCACAGACAGGAAAACGTACGTTGGTATTTACCAGAACGTTTATCTGCACCAGATCCTTCAAGACAAAACATTAAACCACGAAACCATCAGCACCACAACTTCTAGTTGAGACATTTTTACTTCACTTGTTCCATTAATTTATACATTCAATTCTATCCTTGCTAGTAAAGTGCAACTGTCAAGAGCTTCATTTCATCCGTTATAAATGTGTTTACTTGTCTCCCCCTAGTGTTCAAGAGATGTCATTAAAGTGGCTTAAACTGGCAGTCTGAACAATTTTGGATAAAGTTTTTTTTTTTTAAATAGTTTTGGAGAGTCCTCCTCCTCTAATGTTCTCACTAAGTCATTAAGATTAGGAAACTCCTGTAATATGCAGAAAAGCTCTATTATAATCACAAAAAAGCAAATCTCTAATCAGCCAGAACAACTAAGCCCACCTATAAGTTTCTCCTTAAAGTTAGATAAAGATGTCCTGCAAACCTCAACTGTTTTTATAGCATTATCAACACCAGCTATTCTGGATTTTCTTCAAATATCTGTAAGGACTTTCTGTTAATTGAAGAATATCCTGCAAAAACTGTTTGTCATGTACCCCGGTGTGCCCTTTAAGAGGAATTAAAAGTATTTATTGTTAAGTCACAGCATCTAACTGCTTAAACTTTATGCATTTTTTGTGAAAACCTGTCTTGTTAAAACAGATATTAGATGTTACACATCTACAGTTTACCACCAGATACTTTCTTCTTTGAAGCTCTGCTCTCTAAAAACGACGGTTTCCACAGAACACGAGGTTTAGAGGCGAGAAAGAGGAAATTCTCACCTTTCGCGGTTCATCGACAGGGATGCCTGCGAGGTGCTGAGACCGCGGCCCTGATGACATCACATCAAGCCGGTTCTGCTCTCTGATCTGTAACGGGACGAAACACACGGTGACTTACTCTAATAACCCAAACAAGTGAACACAAACATTCTGTCAGGAATCAGGACAACATGCCTGATACAGTCAGATGTTTCAGTGCCTAGATTTGTACTGATTTTGTAAGATGCTCTAAAACCAGTGCAGTGACAGTTCAAATGTAGCCGTCTTCACAAGCACTGACTACAAATTATACAGTAGTATGATTACATGGGGACCAGACTATACACATAAAAGTATGGTAGAAAGGGACACTCTTGACAACAACTGTACAGTAGGCGACTCTTTAAAATTATTTTTATAACTAATCTACTTTGATACTATAAATGTTAAATTTAGGGGACTGGCTGCTGTAAATCCTCACCTCTGTTAATCTGAATGATTGATTTCGACTGTTTTCTGCTTTGTTTGGTGATTTCTAGATAATCTTTATTGAAACATTATTACCTTTATAGTAAAATTAATACTATTACTATTTAGCATGGCTCTAGTTAGCTACCCCCTGGTGTAGATATGCTCATATTTGGCTTTCAGAATAGTAAAACAAAAGAAGCCCACAAAAAAACCTGACACTTCAAAGTAGCATCGTGGCTGTTATGCCCTCCTTAAACATATGAGGCTATGATAGAGATTTATTTAATCCTTAATTATGTGTCAAGTGTTAATATCCTCACATTTTTAAACAGAACCCAGAACAAAATAGTAAAGTGTATCCTACAATTTCTGTCACTCCATCTTTAGATTTTCGTCACGTTCGTAGCATCAAGCTACGAAAATGGTAGTTTTACTTACTTTGTTCCTCTTCGCCAGCACTTCAGTGGGATCTGTGTTGAGAGGGACAAACTGATTGGGATCCTCGATACGAATTGGGGTTCCTGGGTCATCTGCCTTCATCCACTGTTAACAGAAGACCAGTGAAAACTTTGTTTCAAAAAATATAATAATAATATTAATAATATTAAAAATAATAATGATGATGCAGCTGAACCCCTGTAGTTCACAATTTAGCCACTAGATGGTGATCTAGTACCATTTGTTCTTAGCACTGGGATGCAAGTCCAGCCAAAACACAGCAGTCCACAGTAGCTGTGGGTATGTACACACTAACTTTCCCAGCCACACTGCTCACCGTGGTTGTCCGGCTGTTGTAGCGCTCCTCTCCACCTTCTACGCTGACCTTGGTGTAGCTGTTGGGTGAATTGAGCCAGCGTGTCTTCTCCCTCTGCTGCCGCTGCTGGAGAAACTTGAAGGGCAGCCGTGTTGCACCACTATCCGCGTCCTCTTCGAACATGAACGCTGTAACCGTGGCGGGGATCTCGACGTCGCTCTTGTGCCTCGGCTTCTCCCGGATGATGGGGTGCCGGTATGCATAGCCTGTCCTGTAGCCCTAAAAGGCGTCGCAGAGGATCACATGTAGGGTTTGCTTTCTTTTATCTGGTTTGTGCTGATCCATACATTTACATAGGCCTTGTCATATGTCACAGTAGTCTCCCCACATCATCCATGACTACTGCTCCAGAATAAGTTTTGTATCATGACATTGATTTCACAGCTGACATTATAAATAATAAACATTCAATCGGTTTCGTTTTTAGTACATGAACGACAGAAATAAGCATTGATTCCTGTAATGCTGGTTGGCCTGCCAGTTTCATAGTTAGTCACATGGAAAAGAAAGACTGTGCTTTGACTGCAGGCTTTCTGGCAACACAGAGGACAGCGTTAGATAGTCATTTCCTGTCTGACCCCCTTTTTCTCTCACCCTTTTCCCTCCATCCTCTTCCTTTCCTCTCTCTCTCTCTCTCTCCACTTTATTCCCAACCATCTTTTTCTCTCACATTCCCATCGCTCGTCCCTCAGTGCACTCTTTTAGTCCAGCTGGTTTTCAGACAGTTTTCCACACCAGGCTTGACAGCGAGGTTCCGTTCTTTTGTCTTTCCCCCTTTCCTTTTCATCTCAGCCCCCACATCTCAGTCGATACTGACATTTCAACCTAACTGAGCTGGCGTGATCTCCTCCTGCAAAATTCTGCTTTATATTCAGACATTTCTAAATATTCACAGCTGGCAGCTTGCCGAGACACAGTATAACTACTCGATTTTTCTCCCACTTTCTCCCTTTTTGTTACAAATGTGCCTTGGTCCTGTCCTGAATCCAAGAATTTATCTGACACAAATGCCGTTTATGAAGTGTGTAAAGGGGGAGAGTAGGAAAGCAAGGGAGACAAAGATGAACTATTCAAAGTTGCAACAGTCTGGGAGGCAGTGATTCATTGAGAAAGCAGAGGGGGAAAAGAGGAGAGAAAGGTGGGAGGGAAGCATGGAGAAAGGTGAAAAGTGTCGGGTGAAGCAGGCGAGCGAAGCACACGCGGATAGAGATGCAAGGAGGACAAAAGGCATGAGAATCTGAGACAAGGAAGAACATTCAGCAAATCTCCAGGGACTGAACCACTCCAGATTTTTAAAGTTATCACTGTACTAACAAAACGCTCCTCCATTTCCTTTAAGTTTCATTTGCTGTTCTTTCCAAAGATGAGCTTTGGAATCAGCACTGCTTCTTTGCATTGCAAGTTAAAAGTTTAGTTTACTGTAGGTGGCGCCCTTTTCCAGTATTGTTCACCCACACTAGCCACCATAGCTAGTAGCTGAATAGTTCTCCATCATTAGTGCAAGAGAAATAAGACTGAAACAAACAGAAAGGTGAACTAAAACGAACCTCGGACCAAATGTGTGCCATAGTGGTTAAACACCAGATGTGACACTTTTATGAAATCCATATAGGCCTGTTATTATCGTTTTATAAATCAGTAACTGAGTGCTTTCACACTGGATACCCTTGGATACCAGGGATTTGTGTCTACTCCTGGTTTTGAAGCAGGGATCTTACTCATGTTAAGTGAAACCAAGATGGGTTACTTTGCTAAAACAAATGATTACACTCCTGATTTCACAAAGCCACAACAAGTAAAGATTAAAATGATTTATTTTATGATTATTATGCATTTTTTGTGTCATATATATCTTTTTTAAAACTATGCAAGTGTTTATTTAGGTCTTTTTTGTGTCTTTTTCGGGGGGGTTTGTGTGGTAAACTGACAAAACTTTCACTTTTGATGTTTAGGTTTTTCTTTATACACTTACCAGATTATCCAGCATCCTCATCAGAGACTCAAACTCCAGCTCACCGATTTTCCACTTGTATTGCCCAGCCATGTTGATAGCACCCGCCGAGGCGACGGCGAACACTCGTGATTTGTACTTCTCCTGGTCCAGCACTATAAGGTTGTCCACACCTCCAGCACAAGAAATGGCATTAACCTGAGGACAGAGGGAGACAGACGTGAGCTTCTACTGGTGGCTGGTGGCTTACGCAACACAAAAATAAACAACATCCCCCTCCTTCTCATAATACATGTGCGGCATTGGATCATCTATCTAAAAGGAGCATAAGCAGGAACAAATTTCCTGACCATTTCCCCTGCAGACTAAAAGTGTCATTTAGCAAAACCAAAATGAGAGACCCCTCCGGCTACCACGGCATTGAATTTACAGTAGATGACATGCAAACATGCCTGAGGGGATTTATTTCGAGAAATTAAGCTGGGCTGGGCTTTGCGGGATGGATTAATGTTTTCTTTTGCTTGACCAGGGAGAGTCAATCAGGAGATTTGGTTTGCTGTTACAGTGGAGCGGGGGGGCACAGCCGTTCATCTCTAAAATCCACCATATTCACCAATGAACAGGAAGACACGCAAGAACAAAAAGCAAGACAACAGAAATCCAACACAGCTGTATTTTCACTTATTGCTACAACTGCCCCTTCAAAATGGAAACAGCTGCACAGCAGTCAGCTGCACCAACCAAACTACCACCGAGCAAAGTGGGCAGCGTTTATCAGCTTGTTACAGTTTGATATTCTGGGTAATTCACGTGGATGTTATTTTGACATGCAGCATCCACCTAATCGATGCTGCAAACCAAGCACACACCCCAAAGTCAATGACACTCACTAATAACCTCCACCAGCAGTGCACTACAACACACACCAGTAAAAGATCCACCATCCTGCAGCCCACAGGACCCAAAGAATCCACTGCTGGACACCAAAGGTCACTTAAAGAGGACGTCTGGCAATATGTTAACAGGTGCACAACAAACAGATCCAAACCCTTATAAATACACGGCAGTGAGAAGTGTCTGAATGACCACTGAGATTTAAAAAAAAATATTATTTCTTATGTTCCATTTCAAATACTGCTGCAGCTAAATTGAGCTAATCCACAATCCCTGACAAACACGCCACCGCTCTCCGGGCTTATCGCCATCTTATCGGAAAAGATTACGCAGACCGACACATTACATGAAATATGAATATACACTTAAGATAACCTCAAAATGAACATGCAGTCAATAAACATTCATTCATGCTGCCCAATTCTCACCCCTTGAAATCTTATGTATCACCTTCTGTTCAGCTTTACTAATTAAAAACAAAACACGGAGAACACCATCCTTCTCTTAATGCTGCTTTGGACCAGCGTCAACAATAACACATCAGATTGTTGCTCCCTTCATCAGACTCCTAATAGCCTTATTATAAAGCTGTGTTTGGCCAACATTTTCCACATGGGGAGAGATTATGAGTTAGAGTGTTCTTAAAATAGAGAGGGAGAAATGTGAAAGCAGCTGTGGAGATTAGATTTAGCAGGAAAGCTACCGCCCTCCTGGACTAATGCGTGTGTTTGGAAGCCGAAGAGAGAGAGTGTGAGTGTGTGTGTGTGTCGGGCAGGAATGTACTGGGTACCAGCAGCACTTGGCTCTGCAATGTGTACCTGGATTTCACAGGCATACTGAGCGCTGTAGATGTAGTGAAAGGCCTCTTCGATGGTCTCCCCGAGAGCAACCACGCCGTGATTCCTCAGCACCAAAACCTGGAACGCGCACACAGAAAAAGTCATTGTAAGCATCAGAAGAGTCCGATCACAGAGAGGCACTACAGGTCCATTTCTCTAACTTGTATTAAATGAGACCGTTAGATGGTGTTTATTTTATTTATTCAGCAAGTAACCAAGTCAATGGAAGTACTGATGGAGAATGTGCGTGCTCATGCTGATTTGTATCCAGAAGCTCTGTTTTCTCTAGTTCTTAAAAAATGTTGGCCCAGGGGACAGAAGAGCTTCAAGAGTTTGAAGGTTGAAATCATTATGATTTTATGTATCAACAAGGGCTTGGCCACTGGGCGATGACATCAGAACCTGGCAACAGACAAGCAGCGGAAACTCCCTTGAATTCCCAGAATGTTTTCCAGTTTAAATTCCATCAACCGGTGATTTTTTTTTTTTTTTTTTTTAAAGACGCCAGAAAGCAAGACATACACATGGAAGGCAAATAGAAAACCCAAAATAAGGGTGCCTGACTGCCCTACTATTGCTCCTTGTTCGAAATAAACACCCTGATATTTCAATCGTTTTCCTGTCTTAGGTTAAAGGGATGAGATCTAAAACAGGCTTGATTATTTTGAACTACCCCAACATATGGGCCTAAATTGCTCCAAGCCTCTAAAAGTTTTGGTCTGTTGTCTGAAAGACTGCAGAAACCCGACTCAAAGACACATTTTGGCTCTTTTTTATCAGCAAACCTCTGGGACATACACACTCCAGTCTGAAGCTAGAGATACTGGTAGAAAGCTTTTTAATACATCTGCACAAAGCTAAGTTTATTGTTTGCACTTTTTATTTACCGTGTGGATTCTTCAAATCGCAAACCAATTATGCAAAAGTGATGGAAGATGTTGCACAATGTTTAGTCTCCTCGCTTCGCCTACCTTTGTTGTTGGCCCCAGGGCCTTCTGTAGCTCTATGCGCTCATCCTGCTCATCCAGACTGCCCTGGTAGTTGTAGTAGGCAATATCACCCAAGATCAGCGCCTCTTGGGAAATGGGCAGGATACCACACTTCATAGATGACACCTGAAGCAGGAGAAAGGTGAGAAGGAGACAGCAGAGACATGCCAGCAATGAGAAACGTTGACCGGTGGATTACAGCTGTATAGCTGCATTATTCTTTAACGTTCGGCAGCAGATGTTTCTCGTTGGTGCTCCTGTGGGAAGAAAGCTTGGAAACTCTGGCGCTCTCTGATGACTGCGGTGATGAGCCTCTTTGTTGTTGCAAAACTTTCATTTCTGCGCTGTCGAGTCGTTTAAAGATATTCCCTTTTGGTCGAGGTGTCAAGGTAATTTTACGGGATATCACTTCACTATTCAAATTCATCCAGCCTGAAATACCTCTTCTCAAATTGAAATCGCACCCCTCTTAAAAAAAAAAAAGCATCAAGCACCAATCTGCAGGGAAAATCATCACAGAGAGGTTTGCAAGGTTGGGTATAATATAACGTGTGGTAATGTGAACTTACAGCTGCTGTGGCAGGAGTGTGCACGTGTATGATGCAGCGGATGTCTGGACGCATGGAGTAGATGGCAGCATGGGGGCTGAAACCTGCGGGGTCGATCCTCAGGTTGGTGGAGCCCTGGTCGATCACATCCCCGATGATGTTGACTTTCACCTGGGGAGGCAAGGATAGGGTGCTTTGAGGATATCTGCTTTGAGTGGTTAAAAACACTTTAACCCAAGCAATAAGCGGCAAGAGTACGGCAGGGCTTTAGAGGCCACAGAGAGACGATGTATTGTAAACCATCACAACATCAGTGAAATCAAATATGCCGATACAAAACTAGCTCACAAGCAGGTTATAACCCTGCAGTGTTAACCAAGCAGGCCTAAAGATAAGCCAACATCTGTGAGTATGATGGCACAGAAATCACATTACAACAATTCCTCCTTTCTGTATGCTCATCTCTGGGAAATGAATTTACGCTTTACCAGGAAACATAATAGTGGAACGGAGTGGACTCACTGTGACAACTTCATTACCAAGCAGTTAACAGTTATTCGATTACATGACCGGAGAGAAAAGCATTCGAGTCAAAAGATATATAGAGGACCTGGAGGGACAGAGAGTACAATACCGGGGGGGGGGGGGGGGGGGGGGGGGGGGGGAGAGAGAGAGAGACTGATAACTGGACACAGAGACTGTGATATAAAACCTGGAGGAAGAGCAAGTGCAGATGTCAGTCCTCACAGTAAAACCTAATAACAAACCGAAAACACAACTTTGCCTGCAGACCTTGTGCACAATTGGCATCACTAAGCACATGTTGTTCTGTGATACAAGCCAGAAGCAGCCTGCTCACATTTCTGACCCCCCCCCCCCCAACAAGGTCCAAGAGTGTGTTATCACACCAGGAACACGGCATCCATCATCCAGTCAGAGGCTCATGAAACAAACCCAGTTCAAACTGAGCCAGCTCAAAAGTGTGGGGTTTGGTACTTAAAGTGTGCGTGGAGCAGGAAACTATTTCCTTCCAAAATTAAAGGAATTACATTTTTTTTTTTAAACCCCTTCAAACTCTGTTTTTAATCTCTCATCATCATATTACTCAAACTAAAAACCCACCCTTCCCATCCAGGGCTTCTTCAGAGCTGTGCCTCTACTCATTAGCTTTGGTAGCAACAGATCATTTTTATTTTAGGAATAAAAAACGATTCAATAACAAAAACTGCACAAACCTACTGGAGGTGTGGCTTTAAGTTTTCACCTCGCAGAAAACTTGACACTCGAGTATTGATCACTGAGAATATAACAGATTTTTTAAAAGTAAGACCAAAGTGTTACCATGGGAAACTTGCCACTACTCAAACTTCTGAATAAATAATCTTGTTTTACTTGGTTTGAGGTTTATAACTACTTGGATAGTTTAGAGTGTATTTCCTTTTACATCCTTTTTAGATCTGGTCACTACTTATTCATTCTTTAGTAAAACAAGGAAATTCAGTAAGACATTTAACCTCAGAAAACTGCATACGACTAAAAATATTGTTGAAAATTAACCATATTGTGTTGGCACGGGGCCAATACAGCGCCTGAGCAATTACCAGCTCGACTGGTTAATACGTCTCTTTCCTGAAGAGAGTCCACAGATTGTTTCCGATCTTTGGGTCAAATGAGGCTGAAAATCCTCAGACGCATTCTGAGTGGTGTTCAGACTTTTAAAAGGCATATGGGTGTTTGGGCAGATGAATTTATTGATCTTTCCAGCAGAGGAAAGTGAATGGCACTAGCTAAGCGTGAGTAACTAACCCCATCTATGTCTCCACACACCCTCTCCTGACAGCCATAGCCAGCTGCCGTGTGATCGAACACCGTTATGTCACATGGCCGGTCCATTATTGGATCACCCCCGTCACGCCCTTCAAACTTCAGCCCTTCAAACTGAGAGGCCCTTATGGCCGGTGTAGCACCTCTAATCTTAAAAATAAGTCAAAGGACGTGTCAAAGAATCTGAAATGTGATGCAGCTGCATGGTAGGGAGGGGATTAGAAGCTGATAAGGAGAGTGGGGCCAGAAGCAGGCAGTTGAAACTGAAAAGGAAATCTCTGAATTCCTTCAAGGGTTCAAGGTTGCCTGATTCAAGCAAATCAAAGAGTAAAGAGAGTAATTCTCTCACCTTTTGACTCTGATGTGTAGTCAACAGTAATTTCAATGAGAAGTTTAGAGACATGAAATGGGAAACTTTGCTGTGACTTCAGACTAAACTAAAACAACCAGATGGACCAAACATTTTTTCTTTTCAACTCCAAACTCAAACTGACCTCAGAATCACCTCAAAGCTCAAAGAGTAATACTGACAGGGAGAGACAGATGCAAACTAACCAAAGCCAACTGCACCACAGCTGACCCCAACACAACCTTTGACACGCTTTATTCTGGATGACTTCCTCCTAATCAATTTCTTTGCCTTCCTAAACTCTTGAACTTAATCATGTAACTATTGAGCTTACTAAGACAAAGCCGGCTGAAAGTGGAGAGAGAGATTAAACAGATGGATATAAACAAAGCAGTGCCGGACTGGCATCAAAACACAAACACTAAGGAAAATCTGGAAGTGCCAGGTTACACGAATTTGTTCTGTCTTTCAGCGTATGCAGTGTTGTGGTCAACTTTACTGCCCGACCACAGGATAGATGGATGTGGTCCAGACAAACAAACTAAAAATACTCACAGCTGAATAAGTTTGCCATATACTGCTTTTAAGGATTCTGTGGCTTCTAGTAAAAGTTATGGCGAGTAAGTTTGATTGAGTTTGCAATCATGGACATGATTAATTACACTTTACAATGATTTGAGCCAGAGACAGAAGGTAAGAGCATCATCTGTTACTTTGTGCAGCAACAGAGCTAAAACTAAGACTAACACAACATTGTCAAAGGTAAAAGTTTTCTTTTTGCTAATAGAATAACAGAAAAGTATACTTGGGAGGATGAACAACCAAGAAGCCTGAATGGACTTATCAGCCTTGAGCTGACATTTGACAATGAATATATGGCATGAACCAATGAACCAAAATAAATATGAACCAAATACTGCTGGCATTACTGCTATTGGTAAATAAATAAATATCAAGTTTTATCCTGATTATTTTGTTGCAGTACTGAACTATTATTTCTGTGTGCTAATCAAAGACATGTCAACGTCCATGTCTAACTAGTTAACTATTGCAGCAACAGGTTTTTGAGGCAGCAAAGTTACCCTAGTGAAGAGTCTGTTCTGGCGGTTTCAGGTAGGTACGCTTGTTTTGTGTCTGCACTGCAAAGAGAATTTATTGTCTGAAATTATTATCAGCAATTTGGCACTTTATTCCCTTTTAAGGAAATAAAGCAGATTTTCAGGGCAAGTTTACAGTGTCTGTGCTGAACTAAAGCAAAAAAGACAAACAAACCCCTATTAAATTAAAAACAGACTCAAAAATGACTGAGTTCAACAAGGACATGTTCAAACCACTCAGCCACCCACGAGGCTTTACTATCAGGAAGTAGCAAGTTAGGCGCAGAGGTTTATATCACTACCTTCTAACCACTCTCGCAGGTCAAAAAGTGAAATCAGCTTGTCAGTGAGGTGCTGACAGATTTCACAATCTGGCTGCAGAAGCACACCTGCAGCATATTATCCCGGATTTTATCTGTTTGCGCAGGTGTCGAAGACAAAGTAGGAGAGTACAACAAAGCTACTACACAGAGGCGAACCCTGGTTCTGTTTTTTAAATTGTCAAATGGAAAAAGCAGAAATAAACAGAAGTCCGACAATCAGGATGAGACATGTTGATGAGACAAGAGCAACAGAAAGAGAAAAACAAAACGGAGACAAACCGAAATAGAAAGTGAATTAGAGGGAGCTGAAACGTACAGAGGGAGGTAACGAGGTTGCCAATGAACTCTTAAACACATTATTGCACATTTAGCGCCGTGGTATGTCGAGCACAGCTGAAACTGGGGAGACGGACAGACTGAACCACCTACAGTGTTTGCTGACAGAGAAACAGAGCGGCTAATGTCAACATGAGAGGTGCCGGTGACACAGAACATGATAAACACGTACACAAAAGGGACAGTCAGAGAGAGACGGTGGGATCTTGTGCACAGAGAAGACCAAAAAGCACTGGAAAAAAGTTCATCTGGTAATGGGAGAGCGCTAGTTGAGTAAAGCAAATGCAAAGCCATTACAGTCCAATGTAATGCTGGCACAGTTACACAGAGAAGGATGCTGACGCAGACATTTACGATGCATTTCATTTGTAGCAAGAAATTAAATTAACAGGCAGAGCTTGTAGTTAAAAAACTGTCTTTGGATGAGACCACAGTGGCTCGTGTTTCTTACCAGGTTTGAAGCAGATGCCTCAGCAAATGAGAGTCCTCTGGGGATGATCAGGATGTGGTCTTGTTCTTTACTGACTCGGCCCTAGGAGAAAACACAGATTGAGGACTAAAGGTTACTTTTAGTTAGAAAAAAAATTAACCAGACCCAAGTTGGGACTGCATTAGGATAACAAAGCATTAAGAAAGAGTTGAAATATGGACTAAACAGTCAGATCTGCAATTAAAACATGCTTGCCAGCAACCTCCCTGTACATTTCTGTGGGCAACAGGGAGTCAGATACAGCATGAAATGGAGGAACTTGGGTGGAAGTGGACTGCAGAGTGGTTTGCCGTGGTCCAACCACTATGGGGAGTCTAAAGTGGCTCAGATAGCGTGCCTTATATGAGACAGCCATTTGTATGTGTAGAAGTGTATCAGCTGAGCCATCAGCTGATGTGGTCACAAAGAAATTATTGCAAAATGCATTGAGGCATTGTAAAGTCATCACTACTAGACTTTCTTGGGAATTTTGCACGGCACTTAAATAAAAAAAAGAATAGTGCAATATATAGCATTTAAACAAAGGCATAGAATAGTAGAGGACATTCTGAAAGTCTGTGTGGACAGTTTTTGAACTGTAGTATCAGTTTTCTGTAGAAAGTCAAAGGTTACAATAATCTTTGTTGTGAATGACAAGCCAGGTATTTAAGTTGTGATATTAAAGATGTTTTTGTAACCTCGAGACAATTACTGTTAGACTGAAACACCCTTGAAATGACAATAAAAGCTTTCTCTGCAAACAGACCCTCAATGTTTGTACCCGGAAATAATACAGGAGACGGTAAAATTTATGAACTAGATAGATAATAGGGAATTTCCAGTACATCTGTGCTTTTGGAGTAGTGTCTTACTGTGATGTAGGAGTTGGCGAAGTGTGCCCAGCTGAACAGGTCCACCAGTCTGTAGAGGCTGGCCAGTTTACAACGTGTCAGCTTCTCGCCTTTCACCATCGTGGTGGATTCCACTCCGTACAAGTCGTTGATGGGAGTGACCATCCCCAGGCCTAAATGATCATGGACGATGAGAGGAGGGGGAGCAGGAATGTTAAAAATGCAGATTGCGGATCAGGTGGTATTAATATCAGTGACAACCATTCAGGACCAGACATCTGTAGCTAGCATCTGGATTTGTATCTAATGGTGTATCTGACTCTACATGAGAATCCTAATTTACACAGTGGGGTGATGCGAGCAGCACTCAGTCCTTTAATGCCTTTTGTTGTCTTTAATTACAATATTTAAAAAATTAGCTAAACCAAAAGGCTACACAGTTTCTGACGTCTAATTTAGCATTAGTTGTGCATTCCAAGGCTTTGACTTCACATATGGGACTCTTGGACAGAAATTGCAAAGGATCAAAACCCATGGAAATATGCACGGCTTTTCCGGAGTCTGGGGCTGGGATGTCTAAGAGTATTTATGCCCTTAAGCACACAAAGCTCATGTTTGTGTATAGATCTCCTATATTCCAATATTGAGGCTGTGCTTTTGTTTTTCAGTGCAGTTCAAAGTTATTGCACCCAGGGCGCGGATGGCATGTGTTAGTGTCTGGTTGTCTGGGGTAACGAGCACAGTGACCACTTACTGAGGGGGGAAGTGTTGAAACCGGCAACTGTGCTGGCCATAAAGAAGTCTGCGATCTGCCTGAGGGCCAGCAGGCCAGTGGGGTTGTTCCCCTTCCGTTGCTGCTCTTGGATCAGGCTCTCCAATTCCTCCTTGAAAGCCTGAGAAAGATAGGGAAAGACAAAAGGTTGAGAGGGGACACGAGCCAACTGAGAACGTAATGTGTCAAGAACTACAAATCTAACCCTCAAATTAAGAAAAGCAACAGTAAAAAGGATTTACCGGTTAATCTTCACATTGTGACTTTTAGCACATTATCAAGCCTCGTTTAAAAAAAAAAACAAAAACAAACATTTTTATTCCATATATAAAAATGAGCCTTTACGTTCAACACAGGGGGCTTTAATCAGGTGTTATGCAGCTTAACTGGGAGACACACACACCCACACACACACACAAAACGAAAACATTTCACTGAAACTGGACATCCAGGTGTATTAATCTCAAAGTGAGGCAATATCACAAAGAAAACTAAGACTATGGCGAGACAGATGAAGATAGGAGGGAGGAGAAAGGAGTAGATTAGTAGTGACAGAGAGATAAAAGAGCAAAAAGATGTGGGAACATTCAAAGAGACAGGAAGAATGCGAGTAAAGACAGGAAGATCGTGGGAGACGTGCTAATCACAGATTAGACATCCTATTTGGGTGTCAATCTGAATCATCCTAAGAGCGCTCTACGAAGCTGGGCCCAGATTGGCTAGATACACAACAAGCTCCGGAAAGGTTGCTCGTCTGGTTAGCTCGCTGCTTGTGCTTTGATTGGCTGCTTGGTGTAACTGGGAGAAAGTTAGTTTGTAGCTAATCCTCTTGTCCAGTCATCTGCTGAGTCCACAGACACGATACAGTATATGCTAACAAGCTCTTATGCAGACCCCATAAACGCACAGCTGATTGAGTGACATAATACAGAGTACTGGGTAAAGCATCTTTCTCACAGTGCTCATAAATCAAGTCGAGTCATAAATCCTATTGTAGATGTTAGCGTTTGAAATATGATGGTGTTTAAAACTGCAGGTAATATTCAGCTAGGCTGTATAGATAACAGCAAATGAAGTAATAAACCCATCTGTATCTCCAGATAACCTTTGTAAGGTTTTAACCTCCCCCGGGGGCTTTCTCACCTCTCTACCAGCTGACTTTACTAAAGCTGTAACCAGTACGTGCGGGTTTCGGCATTTAATCACACATGTGATGTTCTTATACAGCACATGCCGACGACAGGTAAAGTCCGACAGTCTGAGTTTGAGATATTTGATTTGATCAGCAAGAGTTTATTTTGTGTTATCGTTTGTTTTGGTTTCAACTTTTGTTTCTACCTTTTCCTAGCAGACCTTGGTCATCCAAATAGCCTCATCAATGAGGTGTTGTAGGTAGGTAATTGCAAATAAAAGGTAAGTTGTTACTGATATACCATCAAGCTAAAGCTAAGTGATTATCAAATCACAGATACTGTTAGCATGTATGACTTAAGGTTTAAATAACTTGTGTAACTTATTTTAAAACCAAAAGATCAGAAGTGTTTGACACATCTTTACTGACTTCTATTCCTTCTTAGTGTTTATGTGCCATTTAACACAGAGTCTCTTCTAAACACATCTGTCCAGATCAATTAGTTGTTTTCATCATCTATTCATCTCATACACCTTTACATTTCCGTCTATCAGGTAAATCATTAAAATCTTTAGTTTTGTCTCCAATTGAACTTGCCATCATCACTGACAATAACAAAAACACTATGAAGCCTCTTTAAAGTCCTGATTGAAACTTAACACCAGTGATGGAAACCTCTGGAAAGAAAAGAGCACCGCAAGAAAGCTGAATGAATCCACAAACCCTTTTTCCGAGCAATGAAGCCTCCAGTAGGAAAACATCCAATATTGATACCTTTATTTCAGTACTTATGCAACAGTCCACACACTCCCAGTGGAGCTGCATTAGTGCACAAAAACATCACTGACACTTAACTTCCTCTTTTGCCCTTCAGTCACCACACTGGGATGAGTCCATTAGTGTTATGCGAATGTTTTGTCGTTAAATGTGGATCAACCCCCTGCGTCAGGACACTGCTGGTTCTGAACTACAGCCAGACATTCCTCCATCCCTGGTGGTGAGGTTGCTGGAGCAACTGGTCTGCTGTGGATGTCTGACAGTGGTGGGTCTTCTTTGTTTTAAGTTGCTGTTGTTCTGGGTGTCAGTGTTTCGGAGACTGTTGTGCAATCAGACTGACATTAAAGTCACTGTACTAAACCTACAGTAAATTAGAGCCGTGACTCAGAAACGTATCACTGCGGCAGAATCCGTGTTCCCGACTCAACTACAAAGTTCAGTCTGTGCCTAAAAGTTCTCTCTAATCTCAAACTGCGAGCTTGTCACTAGTTGTTCTTGTGAAACTGATGACATAACATGAGCAGAAATCCCATCATTTGGTACAGTTAAACCTTTGACATTGACATTCTACCGTTCCTTAGAAGTGGCTAACATTTAGCTATTTAAACACTTAGCACATACCCACCAGAGTTGTGGGCCTGGACACTACGCTGATAATAAGTCCAGTATACTGCATTTCTGACCTTTTCTCATTAAGTGCTGAGGGATACAAGATGCATAACAAATGAAAGGGAAAGTAGTATCAAGTGCAATCAAAAAAGCTACAGCGTTTAACTCTATTGACTATAAATATTCTTCCACCTTGGAATTCACTCATTCCATTTTGCAGTCACTTGTCTCCAGTTGCCTAGGTAACACTAACATATTTATTACCAGGTCATTTATTAATCAGCTGTTTCCTGCGCTCTCATTGATAGTTGCTTCCATCGCTTGCCTGGAAGTTGAGTAAAGTTTATCTCATCTCCAGCCCACTTTGGGTCATTTCTCCTGTAGTCACTTAAAGTTACAGAATATAATTCACGTTCTCTGATCCCTGGTCAACATTTCACTGCGAACACAGCTTAAAGGCAGAGAATACGATTGGCATCATTTCTTGATCATCAAATCCATCCATGTCCCTTGAGACCACTTCTAACAGGATACAGTTCTTTCAAAGAGTAAAGTTGATCATTCCAACACTGCAATGATTTCCAGGAACATGATTTTTCTCTACAGGGACTGGCAGACACAAAACATTCCAGCAAAATGCCTCTCATGACAGAGCTGCTAGATCAACACACTGTAGGAGTTAAGGACTTTGGTTTTTCCTTTAATTTGTCAACCAGTTTCCGTGTGACTCTTCAGTAGCTGAATGCGCCACCATGTTCAGCAATGTAGACCAAGGCAATGAGCAAGATGAAACAAGAGAGATGTGAGAGAGTTGCAGACCCAGAAAACAAAATAACAAGCTGAATAGCTTCATAGAGCTTACTGGAACCACAAAGAAACCACAGAACCACACGCTATTCATTGTTAAAAGAAAAATGTCATCCCAAAAGAACATGGTTCAGTCATGGTTCTTGTGTTGCTTTAGATTTACAACACAAGCACAATTACCTGTTCAGTACATGGATTCAAATGGCAAACATTTGTGCCAATCAAGTGGCAGAAAACACATGGGCATAGCAACACACACGCGCGCGCGCACACACACAGGCATCTGCTCTACAATTTATGTTTCGCCATTCCCAAGAAGATTATGACAGCAGGGATTAGGTTCCCACAGAATAATCCAGGGACCAAAAAGTGGATCGTATCATTAATATTCAGCAAAACCTCCACATCTCCACAACAACTAAATGACCGTCACATGTCAAGTTTCCCTTTTAGCCACAGTGCTCTACCTGCTCATCGTTTAAATACAGTTTCCACCTTGACAACCTTGACATGTGGGGGATGGGTGTCAGGTGAGTTTGGTGAACCAAACTCACCAACAGGCAACCAGGCTAATCAAGTCTCTCCACTTACTGGAGGAAAAACAAAACAAAACGATCCAATCAGAGAAATGAGGAGGTGTTTTCATGGCTGCTCCAAAATGCCAACAGCCAATCTTTCAAAATTGAACTGCAGCGCTGCTGAGAATGTTAAGTCGACATGAGGGCTGGAGCTTGGCCAGTTTCTCAGTGGAAGGGTAAAAGCCTGAGGGTGGTGAATATTAAAAAACAAAAAAAAAAAAACAATGAAAAATCAAACTGAGTATCTGTAGGAAAACACAAATGGAGTTTCAGATCTTTAGAATCCAGTCTATGTTATGTTAATTTAGCATTTATTTTATATTACAGTTGGCTGATATCGAGCTTTTTCATGCACATATTTGAGCTGATTGACTGAACCATGTTCTTGTGTGGTCTTGTGTGATTAGACCAGTAGAGAAAGATATTTTTGGTGCTATTCCACCGTTTCTGTTAAAACTGGTGTTGCAGATGCAGGTGACGTTTAAACCGTTGATGTCATCCTGTGGAAAAGACAGACGGGACTTTTTAATGAGAGTGTTGGAGCAAAGTCGACCTTGCACGTCTGTGCCTGTGCTCATCAAAGAAATCTGTGTTGCTCCCGATAGTTTCACCATTACCACACACACACACACACACACACCTCATGTCTTCATGTAAAATTACAGTTTTCTATGAGTCATTGCAACACAGTTTAACTGAGTGCAATACGAAACAGGTTACTGCTTTAAACTTTAAAAGATGAACATTAAGTTTCAAGTAATGTAGTGTCTTCTACAAACTATCTTGGGATCATTTACCGTCACAGGTTAGGTTTACGTTCACCTTGAAAAAATAAAAAGCCTTGCATTACAGCCAAACTGAAGGAACACAATGACCTGCAATTTCAGGGTTGCTGGTAATAAACTGCATCTATCTAAAAAAAAGAAAAAGAAAAGAAAAGCACAGGCCAGGTGAGGCCTGTAATTTCAGACATAGCCTCTACAGTTATGTCAGCACAATGCTTTTCCTTCAAGCCACCAACGTGACAGTGTTACAAAGCATACAGCTGCCTGCCTGCAAGCTCACCAATGCTATTGATTCCTCCTCATCTAACCTCTGAGCCTGCACCAGTAGAATTTGTCCCCAACAGCAACGGCAGCAACATCTCTCTCACGTACTCGACATAAACCCCTTACTGTCTTCTAGGATGATACACTTTACAGACAGCGAAATAAACAT